ACAAAGCGCTGCACACAGAGATTAAAATAAACAGTACAATAAATAGCAAAATGCACAAAATACACAATATAGAGTTTAAATGTAAAGTAAAAATTTAAAAATGTAAAAAGCATTGGTCAACAGAAAGCTTGTTTAAACAGTAAAGTTTTTAACTGTTTTTTAAAGGATTCCACATTTACAATTGCTCGTCCTTTAAAGGATCTGTGGAGAAGAGATAAATCGGTCAAAATCAAGTAGGCTAAATAGTACTATATATACTATACTATACTATTATACTTGATATTAAATATCAAAAAATCATTTTTAACATATTGAAAGTCAAGCTTTATAATGCAATAAAAATCACATGATATCTCTTCTTTAGCCTAAACAACAATCCGCTAGCAGTAATCTCCCATATGCTTTATACTTAATTATCAGGATTAACCTATGCCTTTTTTATGTGTAAGAAATGCTAATCAGATTCAATGAATATGAGCTCCACCCAGTTTCATTCTGACATAAAATACTGAGCCACAGTAGAAACCTTCCAGATTAACACCAGACAGCATTCGCAAACTGAACTCGACTGCAAGAGTAAAGCTTCCATTCGCCTTCAATATTATTTGAGGTTTAAGCAGGTATACAGAAATAAACAACATTGCAGTTACTTCTATGGAACAGAATCTTCTTTTCAACAATATTTTATCATGGGAAATTACGTTTTGACTTTTGTTTGTTTGCATAAAATGAAAATCTTCTATTTTTCCTACATTTCAGATACTTTTCGTCAACATCGAAGGTCTTCAATCACAATGAATGACAGTGACTTTGTGGAGGCACACGATGTGCCAAGAAATGAGAGTCTGGCCAAGGTGGAGATCGCGCTGCTCAGTGTCATCTTCGTGAGCGCCGCCTTCCTCAACACCAGCCTGCTGCTCGTCCTGTGGAAACAGCGCAAACAGATGTCCAGAATGCGCGTCTTCGTGTTCCACCTGTGCCTGGCGGACCTGGTGGTCACTTTCTTCCAGGTGTGTCCGCAGCTTTTGTGGGACATCACAGACAGGTTCGTCGGACCGGACTTGGTGTGCCGACTTGTGAAGTATTTGCAAGTTCTCGGCATGTTTTCATCGACCTACATGATCGTGGTGATGACAGTTGACAGGTACCAGGCTATTTGCAACCCGATGGTAAAGTTTCAGCGGACACGCACGAGACTAAATGTCCCCGTGTGCGTTGCGTGGGGGATTTCTCTGCTAGGCAGCTTGCCTCAGGTCTTCATTTTCTCACAGGTGGAGGTTACACCGGGTGTGTTTGACTGCTGGGCTACATTTATCCAGCCATGGGGGCTGCAGACTTACATCACCTGGACCACGCTGGTCATTTTTGTTTTACCCGTTATCACAGTTGTTGTTTGCCAAGTGCGCATCTGCCGAGCCATCCAGATCAACATCTACCAAAAGACTCAGCAGAAAGGAACGATGGGTTTGTCATCCAGAGCCAGCGGTGTGGCCGGCATGTCGAAAGCTAGAGTGAAAACACTGAAGATGACGGTGGTCATAGTACTCGCTTATATTGTCTGCTGGGCTCCGTTTTTCACTGTCCAGCTGTGGTCCGCGTGGGACAAGCAGGCGCCTAAAGAAAGTAAGTATTGCGTATATTTGCTGTGTGATCGTCATAATCAATGTAGTTCATTTGGTCTTTTACGTTTTCTAATTACACAGAACCTGAGCGTATTTACGCACAAACACAAATTACTCATCTCTAGGTGGCAGGTGAGATTGCTTGGCAGACACGTGACACTTTGCCCTCCTCTTTTAATTCCAGCTGCTACTTTCACCATCCTGATGTTGCTTGCCAGCCTGAACAGCTGCGCGAATCCCTGCATTTACCTTTTGTTCAGCGGTCAGGTTCCCAAGAGGCTGGTGTCGCTCCTGTGCAGGAGGCATTCAGGCGGAAAGGACTCAGTGCACGAGGAAGCGACGCTGGTCAGCACTTTGTATCTAAGCTTAAAAAATCCCCCCGAGTCCAAGTGAAGGTAGCGCATTACTAAAAATGGGAAACTCCTGCAGGGCAAACCGTGCAAAGTCTGCGCGCCTGGATATGCTGCCTCTCTGAATTTTAGCCACCGTTTCAAAGGATGAAGGCAACGCATGCTGTATGTTATCTGACACATAAAAAGATATAGTGTGTAGTAAAAAGCAGCCAGCAAAGGCGAGAGAGTGAGAACAACATGCTGTTGGATAACAGCATCTGGAGAGACTAAACAACTGGTGTGGATCATCAAGCTGTTTGGATAAATCTTTTTTCTTTGAGAAATAAAATATTCATCCCATTTAGTGGTACCTGAATGAGCCAGTCTTTTCAGCCAGATTGGATTCAGCTGTATAGTGTTTTGCATACTGCCGTATATAGAAACATTCCTTGAGTTGATTTTACCAATCTAAAGTAAATAAAATCTATTCCTAGCTTTCCAAACAAAAGATTAAAAGTAAGCATATGTGTTTCACTGATGTAACAGAGAGGAAATAGAGGCACACTTTATGTTGGAACAAACTGTATTTAAAGATTGTGAAATATGTTTGTCAGCCCTTTAACTGTTTCTATGGTGAAAACCTACTCATTGTTCACAAAATCACACGCCAGGTGCTTGTATTTTGTAAAATACTGTTCATGTCTTGATCGACTTTGTTTATTTATGGAATAAAATGTTGTCACAAATGTGTTGCACTGCTGTTGTATACATAACATATGAGGTAGCCTTTGTAATCCTAAACATTTTACAGATACAGATCATATTTATGGCACTAATATTTAGATATAAGTCCATGCGGTCCCACCTAATGTTAATGTGTTTTAAAACAAGGATTGAATTGTCTACATTGTCAACATATCTTTCCACAATTATTACAGCTGGAAGAATGTAATCAAAAGACAAACAGACAGATGGACAACCCTGCACTACGTCATGCAACATCTGCAGGTCATCAGAGTGAAAAACCTTCTTTGAAAGAGCAGCATGCCAAAGAGAGACATAGAATGAGAAACATATGAAGCTTGGAACGTGGCCAGTTCATTGTCCAAGTCAGTCAGTAATTTTGATCAGGACTTCAGGTCAAACTAGAAAATTAGTCATCAGCAACAACAATTAGTTTCAGTGACAAATGAGAAACCACAATGAAGGCATATCCAACGTGCGCTACCTATATGACAGTGGAAAAAACAGCATCGGTACTGAGCTGAAAAGTTTTGTTGGTTGCTTTGTAACTATGGGAGCTGCAATGGTCTAAATTTCATTTGAGGATCTTAAAATGACTGAACACTTTGACCTTCACAGCAGTGCTTCAGGTTTCACTGGAGTCCACAGGGACCTGCAGTAACGTAATTTTATTTTCCCTCCTAAATGTGTTTTTTGGGATATTTAAAGAGACATCACAGCAGACACTAACTGGTGGCAGTTACTCGTGCACATATATGCTCACCTGAGCACTGAGGTAATCTGACAGCTTACGTTGGGAGTCTATCCAATTTTCTCTGGTAAATTTTTATGTGCTAACTTACCTCTGCATAAATTTACAACAGAAAGTATTTTATTTATATATCGAAAAACACACAATTTAGGCATAATGCTTCAACACACTGTTTTTCTTTCAATATTATCACCAATGTTTCAACACAACCCAGAAATGATTTCCTCTTCTGTCCTCCTGTGTTTGTCTGGTATCTGATGCGAGAGTAAACAGTTCTGTCTGGTAGCAGGCTATTTCCCCCCCCCCTCCCGTTTAGGTCAATAATAAAGCAGGTTACTTTAATTCATCAACACTTGATTTTATTGACAGCTCAGATGTGTTTCACCAAGCTTTTTGCTCATGTGGAAAACACACATTCAAAACATAACACATGTTGAGATTATTGTTTGTAATCAGAGGTGAACTGGGTACAGGCAAAACTACATTAAGGTTAGTTTAGCTACAACCCTTCTAATCTTAAACAGTGACCTCCTCCTGGCTCCTTCGTGTTAACCTGCCTGCATAAGAGCGGCTTTCCACATGACTGACATCACAAACCTGTGTGGATGTTCGTGAATTGATGGTTGCATGAATCATAACTCATATTAAATATTTTGGGATTAAAGTCAGAGTCCTTTTTTCTCATTAATAATATATTGATGGGTGGAGTAATCAGCCAATCTTTTCAAATCAGTGTAGCTGCTGTTTTCTCGGGGGCCCAGGAACACATTGTTGCCCTTTGGTTCCACTGGATGTGAATGCAGCTCTGCAGTGATCTTCATCTCTGCAGCAGCTCTCTGAAATCCAGGACGTCCACCATAAATAAATGCCAATGATAAAGGGCTAACGTGCATTTTCATATGGTAATATTCAATAACTTGTGAGTAAGACTGAATATTAGCTTTGAAATTTAATTTTAGCTCATTATGCCATTTTAGCATCTCCGACGAGGGTCGGGGTGCCAACGAAAACCGTGAGGAAGAAGCACTTCCGCCTGCTGTTGTGGTTGTGATTCGCCCATCTTGCCTGCCTGGATAAGGTGAGGCTGCTGGGATCAGAAAGATCAAACACCATGGCTAAAGTGAGCATAGAAACGAGACACAAGGTGGTGAGCCTGCACCAGCAAGGTCTCTCACAGGTAGAAATCTCGCGGCAGACAGGTGTTTCCAGATGTGCTGTCCAAGCTCTTCTGCAGAAGCACAAAGAAACGGGCACGGTTGAAGATCAGAAACGCAGCGGCCGACCGAGGAAGCTGAGTAAAGCGGACGAAAGACTCATTAAGATGACTTTGCAGCGAAATAGGAAGATCTCCAGTAGCGCCATCACCTCAGAGCTGGCGGTGACCAGCGGCACTCTGGTGCACCCGTCCACTGTGCGGAGGAGTCTCGCCAGGAGCGGTCTTAATGGGAGGAAAGGGAGCAAAAAGCAGGTCCGGATGTGTGAAACGAGCGAAGGCAAGACATTCTCAGGTGAACAGCAACAGCAGAACTGGGATGACAATAAATGGGAGCAGGAGGTCTGGACTGAAGATTCAGAGGCTGAGATTTCTGACTCTAACACAGAGGCTGGAGAGCCACAGGACTGTGAGGAGACAGATTAGGCGACATGTGAAGCACGCTGGAGCTTCCTGATAGGTTTGGGATTGCATGTCTGCAAAATCAGGATCAGGCATTTTTATCCATCACATTATCCTGAGATAAGCATGTCAACAATCTCAGAGTTATATATTATATTTATATAGATCAGTTCATGTTAAACTTAAAGTGCAAAACTATATTACATGCTCAGCTGCCGTGTGTTTGTATTCGTTTCAAAGAAAAATTATTATCTGAAATATATTTTTACACTTCAGTAGAAAGTGCAATAAATATGAGACGTTTGAGAAGTTGTTAAGTTCTCCTTGTTCTGCCTATTTAAAAAGTTCATTTTTATTGTAAAGAGACAAGCATTCACCAGGTCACATAGACATATTTTTTTGTGAAAATTGGTGGACATCCATTTAATCCATGTTGCATGTGTTATCCTGTAAAAATGATTAACCTTTCCCCCGGTGGACCTTTTTATATTTGCTGCACCAATTACTCAGTTTCCCCAGGGATAGCAGTAATGTCTGATCTTGAAATTGGTGGGTTTAACCTGATTAAAGGCCTTAACAAGATATGTATTTCACCATCACCTTCAGTTATTTGACACTCTTGTCTCTGTAAAAAATACAAAGCTCAGTAAAGGCAGAAAGACAGACCATGAAGCTCCTAATGAGTGTGAGACTGCAGGATATAGAAGAGAAGAGAGCAGCTCATGTTCTTTGTTGTTTTCTGTGCTCCTCTCACACTTTTTAAATGCCCTGATTAGAAAAAAGCAAAACAAAATGGGAGCAGGATCTAAAAATGTAAGTGTCACTGTATGATTTTTAGAATTTTTGAGTTGTTTTGCAGCATGTGCTAAAATTGAAACCGGGACAATAAATGCAAGCATCCAAAAATCTACCAATTAAACCCTAAATTTAGAATCACACTGTTCATGGTGAGTTCACCTGGTGCTGCAGCACCCCTGAATATGTCTGGACACTTGTAGACAGCAATTTAATGTTTTATTGCAGGTCCAGTTCAGGCTCGCTGTGAAACAAGCAGTCCATTCAGACTGCACAGGCACTCCATCTCAACCAGTATGGTTTGCTGTGTCTCCCTGCACAGTCTCAAGAGTGGGGTAGACACACCAGGAAGACGTTTTTAGTCAGTCAGTTTTTACAACCCATGTAGTAGGCTTTCACCGGAATTAATGAATGACACTCAGAAGTAACTATTGCTTTAGACAAAGAGCAGTTTGTTAGTTAAAATTTAACCATAGTATTATTTCAGGATGTAAACTTTGATAATAACTTTTGATTTTGAATAATTGTGGATAAACCAAACATGATAGGAAGATTTCATTTTTCTTTGAGTCCATATTATTGTTTCATATTAAATTAGTATTTTCACACCTGTTTGGTTTCTGCATACTTTTGCTTTATTACACTGCAACAGCACACATCTTAGGACCGTTAGACTCTGGCATCCAGGAGTAATGGAGGCTCTCCTTCTAGCTGTGGAGTCAAACAGTTTTCATATCGTGTCTACGAGTACATAGTACTATGCAGCCAGAGAGTCCTGTTTAGTTTAACTTGTGACATAACTGAAATAAATATTTGAAATCAAATAAATTACTTCAGCTGCACAAGAGACACGAGGAAGAAATGGAAATATGGAAAATGTTTTATGTCTAAATGATGGAAGTTGGGACAGAATCAGTATTAAAGCAGATTCAGCACTAAGAGAAAATCTAATAACCAATCTTAGGGAGACATCTAGAAATATCTTATTAGAGCTGTGTAACAGAGACTGGGAGGCTCTGTTAGCAGTGGTAGTAACAATGTGAAAACCAGGGAAAGATGAGAGAGAACTAGGAAATTACAGACCAGTAACTTAAAAATCCAAATCTGCAAAACATTGGAGAAATATATGAAATGAATGGTTAAAGTACTAAATAGATAATAAAATGGAAAGTGGGCTTAGAAGAGGGAGAAGTACAACTGAACCAGCTTTATGTTTAAAACATGAAATTAGAAAAGGCAATGTAAACAAACAAAGTGCCATGACATACAATATGACACAATGTGAAGAGAAGGTCAACTAGTGAAAGTGAGGAAAATAGACATTACAAATTATTATACAGATACATTTCTTTTAAAAAACTACAGAAGGATAAATACATACATGTCATGGGAAGCTTTACAGTGGAAAATGTAAGTAATAAAGAGTTGGTCGTGGTTTCATGAAAGGATTAAATGGGTCACACACAATGAAGAAAAACAGTAAGAAATGCAAGAGTGTTAAATGTAATCATATGTTTAATTGAACATAACTAAGCAGACAGGAATTCTGTGAGGACCATATACAGCAGATTTATCAGGCCAGTATTAGATTATGGAGTATTGTAGTGTATGGTTCAGCATCAGATACATACAAACATACAATTGCACCCAGCGCACCTGCGTGTAAAACAATCCCAATAGCAGCATAATGAGCAGAGCTGGGTGGAATGCCACTAGAAATCAGAAGGGAGCAGCTAACACTAAATTGCTGAGCAAAGTTACAG